AACCTGCAGCATAATAATTAGTTTTTAGCCAAAACGCATTCATTATATCCATAAACACAGAAAATAAAAACATTCATACAAATCCAGCTAAGCTGCATACCTGTAGATAACGACTGTATCTTAAATTGTTGCATTTGCTTATCAGAGATTCAAATCCAGTTTGAGAAACAGCAGCATAATCCTCTGTGGAATTAGCCATGAGTTGCAGCATTTAAGTTCTACAATAATGCAAAATGACATTAGAGAAATACATCATTTGAAATCTTTTCAATGAAGGAACATGTCACCATGTGCAAAGTCAGAGCTCATTGCTATGTTTTTAAGACAACATTGATGCACAGAGGAATACGTTATAGGCTTTACCTTAATGCATTGTTATACAATTGTGGAGCCATGAGAGAGTCAATTTGAGTTATAGTATTATTCTTGAAATCACATTATATAGTAATTTCTCCCCCGACCGCTCACTCACTGATCTGCCTGCTGCTGCTCTGGATCCACAGCATGTCAGTGCTGCTGCTGCAGGGAGGGAGAAGGAGAATGACATTGTTTGTCCCAAGAACCAACTTACTGTACATCCTAACACTTTTCTCCTCTGACTGGCAAATATGATAATTGTAACACCCTCTATTTACAGACGGTAAAGTGTTCAAAGAGAATACAAATTAACTTTGAAATCCACACACAGCTTTATTCATATTGTGGATCTCTGAAGGTGTGATATATTTTTCCAGATGACACCTTGTACCTGTATAGGATATGCTCGCTATACAACATCTGTTTTTTATAATTAACTGTTACACTAGCAGATGATTAATATAACACTTTGAGTACTTTGTCTTTGGAGTAGACCTCCTTTCGTCTGTGGTGTAGAATAGTTGTCTAGATAGGATAAATATGGTGATAATACCTTTTAAATTAGTAACATGACCACCACCATGTCCAATTACTGTAGACGCAGCTGAAATACAAACCCTAATGGCTCGAGGTCAAAATTGTAGTGTAATAATGTTCAAGCATTAGAGTGCAATAAAACGAGAGCCACTTTCTTTCCTTCAATATATATTTTTTTGAAATTATGTTTCAAAAGAGTTTATTATGTTTAATGTATCTATCTTGATCAATGACATGTACAGCCCAAAATACACCGTGTAGAGTTGAATTACTCTTATATTTTCCTTCTGATTCAGTTTGTTTATTCCAGAGGCAGATCCAATATCAAGATCCCCTGCGATAATAAATAAAGAAAATAGTTGCTCCGTGTCATTCTCAGCCTTGGAAAAGAAATAAAAAACACAATGGATAGTATAACCAAGTGATACCTGAGAAAAAAACCTAATAAAAGTAGAGCCATCCACAATATAGGCACAGCTTTAGTGTCTGGGTGTGTGTGCATATTTATGTGTGTGGGTATTCATTATTCTGACTACCTGTGGGAAGGAACTGTCTCTGAAACGGGAGGTGCGTGATTTAATGCCCTGGTAGCGTTTTCCAGATGGCTGGAGGGAAAATAGTGTGTGGGCTGGATGACTGGTGTCCTGCTTTGGGTCTTCCTTTTATGGCAGGTAATGAAGATATCATAGCTGTGCCAGTACATTCCTGATGCTGCTTTTCAGGGTTTTGCTGCTGTTTCCAGTCCTGTGCAGTCAAAACTTCCAAAGCAGTGATGCAGCTTGTCAGAATATACTCTCTATGGTGCGATGATGCAAGTTAAGCCAAGCTTCAGAGACCATGCTGAATCTTTGTTGTGATTTCCTGAGAAATAAATGAAGAAGTGTGTTAGGTCTACAGTGCAGTGGTGGATTGAATATGTACAACATATCTCAGGTGGCCACAGGGCTTTCAAGGTGAGGATCAGAGTTTGCATGTAAATATACAAGGCCATGGTTAAGTGATGTGTTAGTCAAATATACAGAGTGTGAGTGAGGGGCAGGGAGTCAGAGACACACTATCCACATGAAACTCATTTATTGTTTGCTCCCCAACCCCCTTTTGTAATTCTTACCGCTACAACTCCTAGCCTCTTGTAGCCATCGCTGGTCTATGTTCTCTATTATCAATAGTGTTATTCCCATGGATATCAATATTGTATTTTCTACTTTAATTTGCAAAAAACATATATCAACGGCGGTATAAGTTAAAAAACCTTTTTTCACTTTTTTTTAACTTATATTTTCTACGCCATAAGTTGTAGATTAAACAAATAGTCATTTCAGGAGGACTTTTAGAATAAGATGACACTCTGAAAGTAGGTTAAAATAATGACTTCACTGAGCCATAAATATAATTTAATTACTTAAGTGCTCAGTTATTAACTAGTGTTTTATTTATTTCTGAAGGTCAGCGTTCGTATGTGTTTAGGTTAATTTCGTTTTGCTCCATTTTTTGCATTGCTCCAATTACATGAACCAAATTATGGGTGGAATTATCTCCCTCTTTTTCTCAAATAAAGGCTGGGTGTTCTCTTCAAGTTCAGGTTAGTAATTGTAACAATTGTACAATTATGAATGCAAGTGTTACTGAATAAAGAGCTCATAAATTAATCAGAAAATGTGTTTTATTCTCACTTGCCCTGTACATACATCAAAGGATACAATTCTGTTAAATTCTAATTGACCATGAGCTTGTATTTTGTATAAAAGGTGTTGCTCATCATTTTCTCTTGTGTAAGCTCTTAATTGGTGCAGCAATTTCAAAAGAGAATTGCCAATTAGTCTGGAATCTCTTTTTTCAGAAAATGCATTGCGAGTGCAAAGTACTGTTTATTAGTATGTGATCAGTTTTTTGGCTAAGAGAGTAATTTGATTCCTTTCAAATCGCCACACACTGCAGTAACAGCCTGCCCAAGGGCGTCTTCTCATCTGAAGATTAATTAAATGAAATCAGAGCACCTGTCTCACAGCCCACAATAGAGAAAGCCCCGTGTCACTCAGGCTAATAACACAGTTAGGCCATTCAGACTTGCTTTATTATGGGTCAGAAAGAGCAGTACAGCAGTTCAATACAATCAAACACAGAGCTGTTACTGCCCTGGCCTTGAACAGTAAGAGAATAAAGAAGCTGGCTGATTGACAGACCTGCTCAAACATGACCGGTGTCTCCTCAGCTTTAGAACACATTGATTTAGCTTTCAAATATCATTAGCTAACAAGGCCTTATTAATGAATTACTACTATTTCATGAAAATCATGTCATCTGTGTGTGACTTCATAAACTAAAAGCACAGGTTTATCTTTTTCTTTTAACACCTGAATGTAATGGATATGTAAAACAAATCATTTGATTCATGAAGGTGAGATATCATTATCACTCTTTTATCTTGTTTTTTCGTTTGATTCTCATTTTAGTTGTATTCTCTAATTGACAATGTCAAAAATAAGGCTGTTGGCTACAACAATTTGTTACGATCAACAGATATCATGAAAATACTAAAACAGGGGTCATAAAAGGGGTCATGACCATAACATTTTTTTATTTAATCAAAATGTCTATGCCTGTCTATAATAATGTGGCTTTTAGAAAACAATACTTAAAAAATCGGCAGTATGTAAGAAGGAGTTAAAATAAATATAGTGCCTGCATTCATCGTAATGAGAAATGCCTCAAAGAGTGTAGCAATGTAACACTTGGAGGTCCACTGCTCCCTTTATCAGGCTTTGACTAAGAGAAATATAGAATATTGTTTGCCTTGTCCCTTAATGTTGCTCCCTATTCTACCAAAGCTTATGTGTTACAAACCAGTTTGTATGAGCAGATAATAAACTTAAGTAAGAACATGTCTCTGATGATCGGAGTGTAAGATTAGTAGGAATCAACTCTCTCATTATTCTCTGCATTATATTATCTTGGAATAAACTAAATACAGTTGTGACCTTGGTAACTATAAGAAAGTGAATCTTAAAGCTTGGGTAGCGTATTGTCTCACATGTTCAATCTTAATTATCGCAAGATGCTGTTTCTTTGGTAAACAGGGCACAGAGGGGATAGCTTCTGAACTCCACATAGTGAGCCCTCGAGCAGGGCTCTACCTCAACAAAGTTCAAATGTAGTCAAACTCCCAGAACAGGCTAATCTCAGGAACTATAGAAACCTAGTATTCCACTTAATGTGTTAAATGGAGAAAAAAACATGCCAATTACACAAGTGGAAGGATCAAACTCACAATCCTCTCAATCCTTTAACCTGTCACATGCAGGAGCTGAAACTGCAGATAGGTTAATCGCCAGCACTGAAGTGTCCCAGCTCAGCATGACAGCCCCCTGACATGACACCCTGACACCTGCTCCCCTGCAGTGAGCCGCCACACTAACTAATTAGCATAGACACTACCTTTCTGATCAACACAAAGCATTCTCTCTTGTTTCCAATTACGCCATGCGCATTTAAATGAGCCAATTAGCGTATGCATTTCCCCTGGTATCCAGTTCACAAAGTGTTTGATTGGGATTCTGCTGCACATCAATACAGCAGGAAGTTTAACTGCCCTGCATGCCACTGCGGACGAGAAGGATGAGCTTCATGTTACACATACTAATTCATTTGGTTTAGGTGGTGGCGATCGAGATACGTTTTGGATAACTATTTAAGGTTTTTGTTAAAATGTACAAAACAAATGATTTCATTATTTATTTATGTTTGTATAAGGGATACAGGATACATAATCTGGGCAGAATTGTATAGAAATGAGACATTTTCAATCCAGTCATTAAGTAGATACAAAGTTAGTTAATACTTAGAGGATTGTGAGGAACTATTTTGCATTTCCCTGCTTTTTTCTGCATTTTCTGAATAAATATTCTGCACTCTCCTTTCAATGAAAGGAACTTGTTCACTTAATCCTGCTGTGAATATGAATGTGGTATACATTTAATATAGATATATATTGCTTAATTCAGCAGAAAAAAATAAGCTAATTTAAACTAGTTTACTCTTTTTTTTTATAAATAGTACGATATTTTAACTGAAAATGTGTCATTTTCTGTGTCTCATTTCACAACTAGCTGTTGCAAGGGAAGTCCATTCCTAAACTGGGGTCACTGGACCAGATAGAAACAGGAAGTGGAGACGCAGATGGACGCTACAGCGGCGACTGTGATGATGAGGACGGCTGCGGTGGTTCGGGGGGCGACGAGGTGAAGAGGAAAGTCCCCAGAGTCTCCAAATGTAAGTCTGATCTTTCTGTGATTTTATTGAAGAATAAACCAGTTAACCTTACCACGTGAAGACATGTTACCCAGCTTTGTTTAATAGCAACAGAGGGAAAATATATTATCATTTATATTCTAAAGGATTGGGTGAATTTGTATGTTTCGATGCATAATTGCATTTAGTTTTTATTGTATAAATCTCCTCTTTGTATGAGGTTAAGATTTTGTCCCTGATAGATGAATGAAATACACTCAACATAAAACACATTATTAAAACAAAATGTCACAAAGCACATATCATTACAAGTAATACTGTATAAACTCTTCAAGTTCATTTGCTTCCTAATTTTCAAATGCATTCAATTGAGCCTTTTACTCATCGCTCTTTTCAAAATTGCAGAATTAAAAAAGTTAAACAGGTTTTTGATCGTTGAAGATATTAAATGCATAAGAATATATTTTAATAAGACTGGCTCCAGTCTCCATTTTATGACAGTCATAATAATAGTCATTACATATAATAGTTGCTATGGGGACATTATTGCAATCAAGGCCCGTTACTTTAAGAATTATGGCTCCTCAGAGGATCAGTAACCTCGGATGAATCACAGCGGCGGAGCTCTCCTCTTCACTTTGTGTCCCGTCGCTCCACTCAGCACAAGGAACCCCCTCTCCTCTCTGCTCTCCATCAAACATGCTAACCACCTGATTAATCACATCTCTCGGTTTGCCTATGGCGACAGCGAGGAAGAGGGGGTCATCCAAACAAGCCGTTCTATCCATGTAAATGTTTCCTTTACTGCTTGTCAGTCTGTCTGGAGGCTTTAGCAGCCCAGGCTCAGGGAGGCTGTTTAACAATCGCTCATGTGAGGCAGTGGGAGGCTCTGACATTTATCACCCATTACAGTACAGCAGCCCTTTCCTTGTCATAGGCCAGATCAGCCTGTCTCCCATATTTATGACCCACTGTCTGTCATGACCTTTGTCGAGCATCTGTCCCCTGCTGACTGACCCTCACACAAATACCCAGGGTTTCCACCTCAACCAGACCTCTGGTCAGTCCCTGCACATTTCCACTGGTATTAAATGCATGTATTGCTTAATAATGGGTTGAATTATTTCTTAGTGGCTGTTTGTTATTTAGGTTTTATTGTTGTAGAATTTGGATACAGTAGCACTTAACATGTTCAATGTCTCTCTCCTACTAAAACAAGTCTTACACAATGTAAAGCAACTTGTAAGAACAGCAAACACTTAATGTATGTAATGTAAAGTACAATGCATTATATTTATGAACAGGAATACAAATATGCCCTAAAACCATAACGGAAACAAAGTGTTAATCTTGGACTCCAGCCTTTAGTAGGCCATACCTCTTAGAAAACGAATTAGATCAGTACACCTAGGTGTTTGGTGAATATCTGCAGGTACAACTCAAAATGAAAGTATATTTTCAGATCAGAAAAAATGCTTTGATATGTGTTGTTCTGGAGGTTATGCATTTTTTTCAAGGACTTGTTGCGTCAGTGTCTCTGTACTCTGCGGTCTGGCGTCTGTGCTCTGACAAGTTCATATTAGACGAGACCCAGACTCTTGAGAAACCAATTATAAATGACAAATCACAGCGTGTAAGGATAACACTAATGGCAAACTTTAGGTCTTTTCAGTACAGAAAATATACTGTATATACCTAATGTTTAGTTTCAAGTAGATTATCAAAATAAAAGACTCATTTCAATAAAAGCTTTAACTTAAATGACTTGAAGGTGTCAAGTTAAATCATAGCATGTACATTGATTTAAATATTGCATCAGTCATGGAGAGGGTTTGCTGTGTCTGAAATGCTCTGTGATCGTCATACTTCTTTAGATCAGACAAGCAGTAGCGTTAGAGCCATTGTGAAATTCTTCAGAGTATTGACATTGTTCTTCATTGATGGAGATTGTAATTGAATTTAGTTATATGTGTTTCCAGAAAAACAAAGTTGAGAGTTCTGAAAAGTTCCTGCATCATACTGCAGCAACAGAGCTGATAAATTGGCTACCGAGAGGGTTAAATCACAGTGGTGGTGGTGATGAACTATTAATGAACATTGTTCGTTTTTTATTTCAGTGTGTGTGCAAAACTTCAGAACAGAAGCCCCGTTGAGACAGAAATACACTATGAACACAAACAACTACAGAATAACAAATACAAAAAATGGATACAAATGAAAAATAAATAATTAGATGAAGGTGAGCTAAAAACTGACATGCTACCAGCTCTCCAAGAACATGATCGACCAACTAAAAACAATACAACTCATTCACAAGTTACAAGTGAAGGAGATCACAGGGAGAGTGAGAGATGTATGTTGCAAGATATGTGATATGTTTTTTTGGTGCAGTGTTTACGAGTTTATGAACTATATAGAAGTCACAAGACAACGTGATATATATCAAGCTTACATTATTTGAAAGGCATGTCATTCTTCACGTACATTAAGCTGTCAGTGCCAGATACAATAACACCATTTATAATTTAATTGGATTTCTTTCTCCACAATTATCCATAATCCCTCTCTTGGTGTGTTTGATGTTTATCAGCAGAACATGCTGACGATAGATCAAGATGATGAGGAAATAAAATGGGAAAAGCTCAATACTGACAATACAAGCCTGATTTAAGGGATTATCCTCATTAAGCAGAATTACTGTTGTGTCAGACTGCTATGTATGTGACAAGAAGCAACAATGTTAGCAGTTCATCCTTCAGAAATATTTCAAGGAGTTTCGAAATGTTTAGTGCTTACAGATGGCTTTTGTTTACTGCATTGCACTCCAGATCCCTGAGGTACCTGAGTTTTTTTCATGTGTAATCTCAGACAATTATTTTAGAAGGTAACACAGACTAAGAAAACTCAGGATTCCAAGAAATATCAGAAAGATTGAATATATCCAGAATCTTTTGTGTATTTCTTTTGACGTCAGGCCCTGTTTTTGCAGTAATTGCAGACCTCCCAATTACTATAACAAACACACACATTCCTCCTTAATTAAATGAAATAAAAATTGAACACAAATGAGAACTAGCACCTCAATGTCAAAACTGTAATATCACAGTGTTGTGTATTGCAGCATATTACAGTGCATACAAAGCATCATAACCTGGATCATAATTACCAATTATAATCAACATAACTGGAATACTCCTTAAGAAAATATATAATATATCATTGGTCCAGACTGTAACTGTGTGCAATTGTGAAACTCCATTGACATACTAATTGCTCAAATCAGATATCATTGTAATATGACACATTTTAACTTCATAATAGCAAAAGAGACATTTTAACTTTGTAGACCTTATCCAGACCTTCATTTTTATAAATAAGGCGAGCCGGAGGGCCTCAAGTAGTGGGGATGAGACAATGCTTTTCTGCCGCCCGACTTTATTGTTGAGCCTGATGAGATAATTATACACCTTTTTTAATTACATAAAAAGCTTCCCAGATATGAATATAATGAATCCAGGTTAACAATTTAAGCCTTGGTGGCTTGTTAATAACCAAACAGTTATGAGATAACAATAAAGAAAGTCTACAGCCATGCTATTGGGTAGGGTTGCCAGAAACTGACCATGATCAAAATCGATTATTCGGCAGCCCTGGCGAATAATAATCGATTAATCGACCAAAGTTATTACAATGTATCGCAAAGTGGAACCAAGTGTTGACATCGAATGTGATGAAAATCCTTGGAATAGTTGTTGAGACATTTCCTTCAAAGCCAAAAAACGAGAACCTGTTGGTGGCACTGGAGGAACAGTTATATTCATCAAAGATATCCAGGGCAATTGTACAGAACAGACCAACAACATTAACAACATTACAACATTACAAAAACATTACAAAACATTACAAAACAGAAGATCCAAATGTCAAAATGATACAAAGAATGTGAGTATGTAAAATGTGTGTAAAAGTTTGTAAAAGATGGACACAGGCTGATGTCATGCATCTTCGAGGTGTCTTTCAGCCAGAGCCTGAGTCACACAACCTCCACTCCATCATGTCTGCTGGAAAGAAGACAGTCTACACAAAAATGCAAGAATTAAGGCTGAAGAATCCTTCATACAGACAGTAAAATGAAACAAATACAGACAGATATTACTAAGGAAATGGACTCAAATCTCCCAAGCAGATTACTTACGACTGTAAGCACAGTTTTGGTGGGGTGGTAGGACATGGAAACAGACTGAAAAGGTTAAAAAAGATAGTACTGAATATATCCTCTGAAAGTTGCTGGGATCAAAGTAGAGGATCGACTGACATTGCCATCGCTCGAGACGTGCCCCTAGCATGGCCAGAAGAAGAAAAAACGGTTGCCGGATACATACTAAAGGAAAAATAGAGGTTTACCTCAACTTCCCTTTATCCAATAATACATCTTGGATCAGCATCACCTGCAGTTTGGAAAAACTAAGAGGCTATGTCATGCTCCAGCACCAACATGCACCTCATGTCTCTTTTCTGGCCTGATGTAGTCGGCTGCAGACACTGTGACTGCTTGCAGTGTGAGCGTTGTACTGCAAAAAGACATCTGTCAGACACTGGCAGCAGTGGAGATACCAATCGATTTCTAGCAAGTAAGCACAATGAGGAGAAGGGGAGAAGCTGCTTTGCCATGACTCTTATTCATTAAGTGTCACAGTAGGAGAGTATTTCATGTTGTTTTTACCTTGTGGTAAATGACTGGATGTAGCTGTTGCATGTAGAACTCCTCCACTATCTAATGTCAAGGGATGATTTGAAAGAACACATTCAACAAGGGAATTGGTGCATATTTAGAAAAAGCAATTTAATGTCGTAATTGACGTGTTGTATATGTTCCAGCTCTAAATGAGAGATCTGAGAGACAGGGAATTACATGAAGGCCACTGTGGACATACAGTAATAGACCCATCACTGGGAGACATTTGCAGTTTTCCTAACAGGCCCTGTAATAGTTTTCCGTGCCTATTAGACAAATCTTTATC